TGACAGGCCACCCTGGCAAGCCCCTCTCCATCCGCAGGGCGAGGAAGAAGAGGGCTCAGGAAGGGACAGGCCGGGGAGTGACTGTTCCAGCTGCAGGAGTTGGCAGCAACATGGGGAGCAACGGCTTTCCCCACCCCACTTACCCTGGAGCGCCATTCGGGACACAGGCCTTCCTTGAGCCTCCAAACCTGCTCATTATTTTAGTGGGACAGGGGGGGGACAAAAGGCAAATAAGAGATGGAGAGAGAGAGAGAGAGAGAGAGAGAGAGAGACTCTAGAGAGCGCTTCTCAACCTGTGGGTTGCGACCCCTTTGGGGGTCGAACGACCCTTTCACAGGGGTCGCCTAAGACCATCGGAAAACACATATATAATCACATATTGTTTACAGTAGCAAAGTTACAGTTATGAAGTAGCAATGAAAATAATGTTATGGTTGGGGGTCACCACAACATGAGGAACTGTATGAAAGTGTCGCTGGCGGCATTGGGAAGGCTGAGAACCACTGCCCTAGAGAAGCAGAGGGAGCCTCAGCCGGGCCGCCCAGCGTGGACACAGGCGTCCTCGCGGGGCCAGGGACAGAGCGCACCGGCCACTGTGCTTGTGAGGCAGGAGGCCGTGGCCACGGTTCCCACGCAGCCTCCGCAGCAGCGGCTTCCCGCGTGACGGAGGAAAGCCACACTGCTCCCAGATCTCCCCGTAGCCCGTGCGTCACAGGCGAAGCATCAGACATCCCCGTCCATCCCCTCGGGTGCTGCCTGCGTTCACTCAACAAATATTTACCGGGTCCGACTGGGTGCCAAGCTCGGATCCAGATACTAAAGAAAGCAGCTGCAGCCCTTCCCCTCACAGGCCTCACACGGTGCGAGTGACAAATAAAGCGGGTGCGCCTCCATCCCCAGGAGCCCTGAGCGCGTGGTCTGTGCACAGGCGGTGCTGGGCCTGGAAGGCAGAGGGAAGGGGGTGGCTACAGGGAAAGGGGAGCTGGAGAACCCAAGTGTCCCCTCCTTCCACATGTGGGGAGACTGCTAGTCACTGTCCTTTCCTAACTCGGGCCTCCCC